GGGATCTTGAGTAAGACTGCAGGACCCTTCAAATAAAATTGCCTTCAGTTTAAAAAAAAAAAAAAGACTGTTTCTAGTACCAGCATAAACCAAACACTAAGTCCAAGATGAACCAGGCACATCAATTCTGTTTTAAGTGGCCTAATTCGGTTCCCCCAGTTTGCCATTTGCTGTTCAAGTATGCCGATTCCCAGTGCCCTGGCTGGGCAAGTCTCTGGCAGCAGCACACCAGTGCCTGCATGGCCACCACTGGCAGCAGCAGGCACTGGCAGAGGTCCCCTGCTGAGCACCTCCATTGTTCCCATTCTCACTTTTGACCCTCAACCACCTTGTTTTTTTGGTTTTTTTTTTTTGTTTGTTTGTTTGTTTTTTTTGTTTTTTTTTTTTGATTCATTGTCCTTTCTTGTTCTTTGTGTTCTCCTGGGATCCTCTTCCTATAAAGGCTCTTCTGGCTTGGCTAGGGAGAGCTGAGAGAAGTGGTAGAAGGGGAGAAGAAAGAGTTTCTGAAGAAAAGGAGCAGAGCAAAAGTCATCCCCATACAGCCGACCACAGGCCATGCATGCATACAATTAGAAGAGTCCAGTGGTCTCCATGGTACACTTATATCACCTTAGCATTTAATATATTTGATCAATTTATTTGGTCCAAATTGGGCATGGCTTAAAATCCACTTGCATAACAGACAACCCAACAGCCAGCCACTGAAGAGCTGATGCAACACAACACAAAAATGCTCCCAAAAGTATAAATGTAGATAAATAAAAACAACCAGCAAGTAAAGAGCAGGGGATTCCCTCTGCTGTCTGCAGAAGGAAGGACAAGTCGGGCCCTTTCAGACACACCTCGAAGTCCTGTACTGCTTCTCCCGTGCCCAGTCACGCAAGCTCCGCTCTCCTCATTCAGATCACGAGAGCCAGGACTCAAAGCAACCCTCGAATACCAGATCACAAAAACTCCAAACCTCACTCAACACAACCAATTGCGCTTGCTGCCGCTTGCCAGGACCTACTGCCCATTAGACAAGGCCAGGGAGTAGAGGCGCTTCATCTAACGCTCGGCTCCAAACCACCCAATTCATTTGCAGCTTTTTCTATGACATTCCATAAGTAGGATCCAGCCTTTTAATTCCCCGTGGGGAAAATGGCAAGAGGAGTAAGGATCTACGTGCTTGTTCCACAGGGGAAGAGGGAAGGAAAAGTTGGGAGTTTGGCTGCTAGTCAGTAATGGCACACTGGAAGGAGACAGGACATAGCTTGGGGTATCTGGGTAAGATTTCTAGAGGAGGACAGAGAGCATGTTCCACATGAACTTAGCCCCTGAGGGACTGTCTGGGTGGCAGGAGGCCCAGAACCGCCACCCATCCTGGCCCTGTTTTCCATTACCTCAGCCCACACACACTCCCTTCCACCCTCCTGCCAGCCACGCTCCAGTCGTTCCTCTCCAAAGGCTGCAAGAAGCTGAGCACAGGCAAAATAAGAGACAGGGTCCGAGACACCATTTTGGCAAGCTAGTTTGATTCACAGGAGCAAACAGAACCCTGAGACAGAGCTAAGGTGGCCACAAGCACTTTTCTTGAAAACCCCAAGGAATAAGACACAGACCAAGACCTCCTGAAGCTGGAAAAGGTTGTTTTACTGCAGGACAGTATCCTCCTATTATCACCTCTGAAATCAGATACCCAGAAACACCAGAGACTTGGAGACAAAACAGGTCCGTACAGAGCAGCTGTAGCTGCAGCCAACACTGCGCAGCAGAGGACGGTGCTGCCACACACCCTGCGTGGTCCCGCACGCCCGCTCAGCTTCCCCTTGTCCTGCGCAGGGGACCACCACCGCTACCCCTTCACTGCAAGGAACCGAACTTACGGGAGGAAACGAAGCATGGAAAGAGCAAGGACCAGAAGGGTCCTGCAACAGGAAAGGCAGCAGGGGGAGAAAATCATGGAGACAGGAGAGGTCAAGGGACAGCCACCTGCAGAGGCATTTTACCATCCTGTAAAGGGAAGGCGAGTTGTTTTCCCATGGTAGAGTGAGAAAGCCTGTATTGGCATCGATGCACTTTATGTACCTCCATGCTCTCAAATAAGCCATCCTCAAGGACCAGGATCACACAACCCTCAATGTAGCTATCAAAACATTACAGCTTTGTTGTGATCATGCCATTATTACCATGGTAAAAACATGTTTCAACCCTGCAGAAAGTCAAGAACAGTACTTCATACCCATATCTGGTATTTGGGATCTTCTCTTCAACAGGTATTTTCACATCTGAGCTTAAACTAAGGCATTTTTTAATTCAACCTTTGAGGCTCTGTTCAAAGTGGAAGAACCAGCAGCTGATGTGAATATCCCAGAGGATACGGCTGCACAGCCCAGCAGCCCCACAGGAGTCATCAGATGGCCGGTCCCAACAGGAGCGAAGGGTTTGGAGCCATGACCGGCTCAACGTTCCTGGGAGGGACTGGGCAGCCCGCCGCGCAGGCAGGAGCAGGGCAGGGGACCGCCGCTCTGACCACCTTCCACGGCTGGAGCAGTAAGAATGTGAACTGGCAGAAAACAGCGAGCAAGCTAACGGCGCCAAGTAAAGTTCTCATTTTTATGCCATCGTGCAGATGCCTCAAAAGATGCCTCGTGATGCATGATGCAGGAGACGGAGATTTGGCTTCCACTATACATTCGCTACAGCGCGGGAGTATGTTCTCCTCCAGAACCGCCCGTACGGGCTCCATCTGCGCCCCACAGATGCTCGGTCAGTGACCTACAGACAGACAACACCCTGGCTTTTCTTAAAAGTTTAATACTCAGAATATTTTATTGGCTGGATAGCCTCTTACTGAAATTACTGTACAATTTTCACTTGTTTCAGCCAAAATTGAGGGCAATTTTGCTTAAATAAGCCTGTCTGTGCCATTAGCTCTATTTCACCAGGGAAATTTGCTCTCACTTGTGCCTATGACATCATCTATTGACATAACCCCACCGAAACAGGCATTTCAAACCCTTATACTCTGCCATTTCACATACTGCAATTATACTCAAGCTTAAACGAATCTTTGACACTAGACTTGCACTGTGTTTCGCTTCTCTACCATGCACTTCGCTTGGCTTTGTTTTTCCAAAAAGAAATATTTCCTTCTGGAGACTTGCATTGGTTTCCATCATGCCCAGAATCTCAACTATAGAAACTAAGGTTTTTGTAATAGCAAACCTTAAAAAATATTTCCAGTGACAATTTTACAAACCAAATTATACATTCTGCTTCTAGAACAACTTGGAAAAGACAAGATCCAGTAAAAAAGAGAGAGCCCATGCCCACTCAGCACAACCCAAAGGTTTTTACCATGTCTTGCGAAGGTAAACGCTGTAGGACCCCAACGGTCCAAGTCCTTCAAGTGGAAAAAACCTCAACCTGCTGAAGCCTGCTTTAATGCCTCTCTCTTCTCAAATAAGATTTTTTCTGCTGCAAAAAACAGAAGCCAGTTGCATTAATTCTCACACATCACAAGGATTAAATCAGTTTAATAGTTACCATGCAACTGCTTACATGTTTTAAGTATTCTTTCTGTCTTCATACCATGACTGCAGTTGCGACACACAGGTAAGCATTCCAGCATTTGAAGCAATACAGCATTTGGGCAAGAGCCTTGAGGAAAAGTGCAGTGCCAGGCACGATATCCGTGTTTTCCTTCCCCTTCATCTGGAAGAGCCCTTATACCTTGGCATTTCTACTTTATATGGCAACCAAGAACGGCCCAAAAATTTCTTTTAACTCAGCCTCTTATTATCGTTGGTAGGCAATAGTCAGAAAAGACCCAAGGAACTGAGATAGGACCACCTGCCCGTCTGAGCTTTTGGGATTTGCTGGAGATCAGCTCCTCATCATTCCCAGGAATTTATCCACCGGCATTGATCTATCTCTGTGAGCTCTCTAGGCACACCCCACAGCATTCAAGCTAAATTCTCTTCTCCACAAACCCCTCACAGGAGTCATCGCGTGAGACAACCTCAGAGACCGTAGCCTCTCGGAGGAACAGCACAGCCCGCAATTCCCAAATCAAAAGTATTACATTTTACAAGTGGAGTCACAGGCCCTACCAGCTCCGTCGTTAGAGAGAAACCATAAACCAAAGAGCAATGAAGCAGGTCAGAAATCGAGATGCAGGAAAGGCTGGTTTTAGGCAATTACATCATTAGTGGTCACTTCCAGACAAGAATCAAGTCCCACTTACCACTTAAGTCTTCTTACCAATCATCTGCTCAGTAGCTGCAAAGCTCATTGAACCGGAGTAAAGTTGTCTTAAAGTTGACAACATGAGACTCTGATGTATACTTGGTAAAGAGAAGTAGCTAAAATACTCAGTAGTAGTTCCTATGAGAACTTTAAAGCCCTGTTGTGTTCTGGGTTCAGTATGCAGACTACCCCCAACCCATAAAAAAAGAAACGATAGTACTTTATTAAAATACTAAATTTTATTTTTTTTCCACGTACATTTAGTCTCCCCACCATTTCCATTTGTCTGACCACCACCACCACCATGCCTTATCAAAACATTCCATACATACTTAAAATGAAGCTGAGGGTGGAGTCCCGTCTTTAAAAACTAAACAGGCATTTTGGACAACACATTCTTGGCAAGGTAATCTGGATGACATTTATCAGACACGGTAGGGGAAAGTTTTTCCAGATTTTTAAAAAGGGCAGCCAAATAATGGT